CCCCCCCCCCATTTTTGCGCCTTTCACCCTAGCTAGGGCTTTTGTAACAGGCTATTCCGCTGCCATGGTTGAAATGTAAAAGAAAACAAAAAGGAAGAAAGAAAAAGACGTAATGAATAGAGACCTATTAAAGATACACCGTTTCCGTGAACGAATACGAGTAAATTACTCGTAGGGGTAGCCGTAACGCTCACTTCCCGTTGACATGCGTCGCTCAAAAACGTCGCTGCTTTTAATATCACTTCGGGGAAATCATGGCCACCTTTGGTGTAACTACGCGCAAACGGGTTCGTCTACCCGTACCCATAGAAAAAGGTCACAAGTGGCTTGCCCAACGCCGCGCCCTCCGAGTACTATATCAGTTTCCTTTCCTAGTGTCTTCCCCAGGCCCTTTTGTTTTTTTGCAAGTTTTAAGAGTTTTGGGCATCAAATATCAGTACAGCCGCGCCAAGATGCCTCCAAAAGGGAAGCGCAAAGCGAAGACAACATTGGATGATAAACCCGGCAAGAAAAAGAAACAAGGTAAAATCTGTTAGACAGTAATCAGCCAGATGCTATCTCAGTAAGATAAGTTTAAATCTCTTTACAAACAGCGCATTCTGACAGGCTATCTATCTTCAGACGCGCTCATAACTCTGCTGCGGTCATGAGTGAATAAACGTGTAAAGAATATATTCTCCTACGCTTAGGCTTAAAACTTGTCGGTAATATATGACGGCGATGAGAAGGATATTGCTAGAATAAGCAATTTTGGGTTATTAGTGGAGTGCAGGACGCTGCATGCCAATTTTAACGTACGTTTCTGCTAGTTGTTAAATCGAGATGTGAGTTTGCGAGGAGGGTGTGGAGGCATTGGTGAGGGGAGGGGTGGTAGGCAATTCACAGTTGAGGGCACTAGAGGTGATTTAACACTGCGGACCGGTTATTTAAACGGAGTTTAGCCAGTAGTTAAGAAAACTGTGTTCTAAGCCATTTTAAAATTGCTCCACACTTTTATCTAGGAAACATTCATTGTGAACAGTTTTATGAAAGCATACAACATAGACTAGAAAAGCATTTGATCATGAAATAACCCACAAAAGAAGAGATCTGGGAGGTCCAAAGATTTCTTAAACCACGGCCCAAGTTAGACTTTGTTTAAGTAACCGATCCTAAAGGTTACAGAGAATTTGATGCAGCCATTTATTCATGATCCATCTGAACTTTTGCAGAAAATCAAAGCACTAGCAAAGCAAAGGCCTCAAAACAAGTAAGAACATATTTTATACAAGAAATACATTATTGCAAAAACCTGGTGAAGCTGTCAAGGGTCAGCAGTGATAGTAGAGGGAAACAAGCCAAAGGGAAAGAATAAGATTAAAAAAACAAAACAAAAAAGCAAAACAAAAACTAAACAGAAAAAAAATACAAAGAAAATGAAAAAACATAGCCTCCCCTAAATTCGAACCTTCACTATGACCCCCTTCTACAAGGGAAGTCGGCTCTGAAACCTGACTGGGCGGCACTGCCACTGGTTAATTGAGTGGGTAAAATTTTTACATTCTAAGCATTTTTCTCTGCCATAGACACTGTTTGAAGCTGGTGGAACTGTATTTATCATGAATTATTCCAAGATACATTTGAGGAAAATTAGCTTAAACAAGTATTTCCGAGCCATTTTGCATTATTCTAGTTTTTAATCACAGTGTCTTGAAGAATAAATGCTGATCTTTTACTAACCCGGCAGTTATGATACACATGTTGTTTACTTTGATCTGTGTTATCATCATGTCTGACTACTGGCAGTCACATTTAAGTTGGGCATTGTCTGATAACCGACTGTATGGTTGCTCTGATAGTCTATTCTAGTTAGCTTTAACTTGTTTGACTTGAATGTTACTTTTAGCAAGTGCAATACACAAGATGGCTCATAAAATCAGAGCCTGAGAGCAGAATAGAGAAAGGAGTCGATGTTAAGGTATGTTGAGGCGCTAAATTAATGGGTACAGTACATCTACTACTTTAGTAAAATGACTTAAATTGAATTTCCTTAAAGTTCAATAAGGTTTCTGCGTAACCGACCTCCTACCCCTCCCCTAAGTCAACATTAACACTCACTTCTTACTTAGGGCAANTAAGCGATCGGCAAAAGCTATTACCAAGGGAGGAACTACGCGCTCC